TCCTTTGATCACCAGAGCATGACCAAGCCCCTGACATCTGTCAAGAGCAAAAATTCTACCCCCCGGGTGCCCCCCCCACTCAACCACAAGCAGGTTGTCTGTCAGCTTTTCATCCCCCTCCCCAACAGGAACTGGCAGCTCAGATCCCCCAGGGCTGGGCTTTTTAGCATGACAATGGGTTTTAAACCTGGGAGAGCCTCTGTCCTCCCTGGAAGAGCAGCTGTACTTGGGATCAAACATCCCTCATTCCACCCAGCACGGAGCAGGCAGCACATCCTGCCTCCAAACTTTCTCCAAGAGCAGCTGGTTATTAAATTAACTCTCCTCACTGCGTGTTCCCTCCATCCCCAGGCACGGGAGCACCAGGCAGGGGTAATTTTAACCAAGCTCCTACTCCGTTACACCTGGATTTTGTATCCCAGAGAAGAGTTTTGATGAGTAACAGCAGAGAGTTGAGTGGGACCCTTAAGGTCGAAGCAACAACAAACAACCCTTTGCTTCCAGGTAGAACTGACTCCAGGATTCTGCCAGGAGATGGGAACTCCTCCAGGACTGCACACAGAAATAGGGGAAAAGTCCCAGGAATTTCTGCCCTGGAAAACGCAGCTGCTCTTACACAAAGAGCTGGATGCAGAGAAAGCAGCAACCTGAGTCCTTCCAGGCTCAAAGCCACCCTCACACATGCCAGGGAATGCCAGTACTGGCCACCCCACCCCCCCCCATTCCCAGGGACCCCCTCCCCACCTTCTGGGGGTGCTGCAGCCTCAGGTGAGTCTCCCTCCTCCAGCCCCATCCCGCTGCTCGATTTGGAAGCACCAGAGGGACGTGGGGCTCCTTTGGTCTCCACCCCCTGGTTCTTCATCACAGCCTTTCGGCCCTGTCAGACCCTGCAGGAACAAACAGCGACTTTAGGAACGTTTGGAGGGTTTGGGGAGCCATCCACCCGGACTGGGAAGGAGCAGGAGCTCCCACCACAGCTCTGTGCCCAGGAAAGCAGGGCCTGCTTCCCAGTTTGTACCTCCTGGATTTCAGAGCTGACAGAGAAACTCCCTCGCCGGGGTGGGGACCCAGAAACTGGAGCATGCCAAGCAGAGAGGTCAATTCCTGCTGAGCCCAAGCCCTGGCTGAGGAGAACCCAAAATCCCAGCTCCTCATCCCCATCCCCTGTCCCTCTGCAGGGCGTGTTGGATGTTCTCACCCTCCCAACCTCTGCTCCGCTTATGACACTAATTATGGGCTGAGGATGCTGATGCTCCTGGTCTAGAGGGGAGGGGCTGTTCCCAGTTTGGAGCTCGAGACAGTTCCCAGTTTGGAGCTCAGGGGCTGTTCCCAGTCCAGGCTGTTCCTAGTTTGGAGCTCAGGGCCATTCCCAGTTTGGAGCTCGGGACAGTTCCCCATCCAGGCTGTTCCCTGAGCAGGAGGACCCCCTCCCCGTGCCCCCATTTACACCTCAGCAGTCCCACCGGGCCCATCCCCTCCCGGTGCTGCTGGAAGGCAAACCGAGGGCAGAGCGGGGCCGGGCCGGTGTCACCGCCCACGTGCGGGACCTGCGGGGCAGCGCCTTCCCCCGCACCTGCCCCGCGCCTCGGGCGCTCCTTTTCGGCTGCTGCCACACCGGGAGCGGCTCCCGGGCGGGAAGCGGGCCCGGCGGGGACAATAACCGGGGCCCCGGGTGCCACAACCGGGCCCTGGGGGACGACCATCGGAGCTCAGGGGAGGGGTTAACTGGGGCTTGGGGGGCGATAACTGGGTCCGAGGGGCGATCGCCGGCCCCACAGCACCCCCGGTCCCGCCCCCCCCGCCCCATCCCGTTACACCGGGAGGAGGTTCCCGGTGCCCCCCCCCGTTATCGCCCCTGGGGCCCGGCCCAGCCCCCGGCGCCGCCCCCGCCCTCACAACCCCGCGACCCCCCCCTTTGACGTCAAAGCCGCCCCGCGATGCGCCCCCTCCCCGCGCGGTGACGTCACACGCGCACCCCCGTGACGTCAGCGCCGGCGGTCTGACGCAGGTGCCCGCCTCGCTGCTCAGCCGGCGGGCGCGGCGCTGCGGTGCATGGGTGCCGGTGTGGCCGCGGTGCGTGCCGCCAGTGCCGGTGGCGGTGCCCGCGCCGAGGGTGCCCGTGCCGAGGGTGCCGGTGCCGGCTCTGAGGGAGCGGCTCGGCCCCGGGGCCTCCAACGGCCGCGCGTGCGCCCGCCCCGCGCCGGCCCGCCAATCAGCGCCCGCCGCGCGCGGGGCACGCCGGGAAGCACCGGGGAGACGCGGCGGGAGGAGGCGAGGGCAGAACCACAACTCCCGGCGTGCCCCGCGAGCGGCGCCGCCGGGGACTACAACTCCCGGCATGCCCCGCTCCCGGGGGAAGCCCCCAGCAGAAAGAAAGAGGAGGAAAAGGGGGGGAAAACTGTGGCCTGTAGCTCCCGACACACCCCCCGTGGGGAGGGGAGAAGGAGAGGAGGAATGGAAGGAACGAAATCGTGGCCTACAGTTCCCGGCCTGCCCCGCGCGGGGCGGCCCCCAGGGACTACAACTCCCAGCATGCCCCGCGCTAGCCTCATCCGTCCCCCCCGAAGGTCACAGAGTCAGCTCAGCCCCCAAGCCCCCCTCACACCCCACCCGCGCCCGTGGGGTTCGTTCCACGCACAGCAAGGGCCCCCTCTCCCCTCACCGTGACCCCCCAGGGGGCTCAGCTGCCTCCTCCCCCCCC